GGAGCCTAAGTATTTCAGTCCTTGGGGTGTCATGAAGCAGGGATATGCCCCCAAGGACCCTCCCCAAGAACAGCACTGGACCACTACCTGAGCCCAGTGCCACTCGCTCCTCCCCACTGAAATGGATGGGCTCATGCAGAGGGACTGAGCATAGAGGCATTGGTACCTTCCAGGTTCCCTGTGGAGAGGGTCCTCTGCGGCCGTGTATCCCGCAGTTATCCAGTTGTGCCAGTGGACTGACCATGTCTGCTTATCGGTAGCCGACACAGCAGAGAGCAGATTTGAGAATGAGAGGGACTGAAATAAGGTCCCTTCATGCTTGATGACGGTGATAGCAATAACAGCATTTCAATATAGTCCAATCCATACATTTTACAGGTTAAATTTTTATTTTGCTTTTAAAATAATTGTTTCATTAAAATATTATGGTTAAGCTTTCTCAAATCTCAGGTTTAGCTTTCTCAAACTCAGCTCTTATTGTATTTGAACAGGTAGATAAATTCTAATTTTAGAGAATCTTTGAATTACTGGCAAATAGACAATTTTTTTTATTTGAGAAATTTGAGTTCTAAATCATTTCCTTTGAGGGATTTCTTTGTGAAGCTTCTACCAAAATGAGTGAAGACCGAAAAGAACTCCCTTCTCCCGCTAAATGTAACACACAGTCCTTTACAAGACCAGGATCTGTGTAATGTTGAGGTGGAAGAACTAAAGTAACTTGAGTGGCTCCATGATTTCTAAAGCAAAGAGTAAAGATTAAATTGGGAGTTTCCCAAAGGGGACAATTGCTTCTGCTCTTCAGAACTCTTGGAAACAAAAATGACAGCAGCAGTTACCAGCTGCTGATCAGGACTCTTCTGGCTGTGGAATGGAGGACTCCAGGGCCACCTGCTGAGCCCTGAAGCACCTGCCCAGACTCCTTGGAGGGTTTCACTGCCCTGGGACCATCTTAGAGACCTCGTGGGCCAAACAGTCTTAATGGCTGCTACTAGGAGTTTGTTAGAAATCAGTGTTCGAAACCCCTAGGTGATGCACCTTATTAGGAGCCTCAAGGACCAAAATCCTCAGGGGTGACCCTGGAGGAGGGGCTTGAGAGGAGTGAACTGAAGACATCTTGGGTGGGGGCAGCCCTGTCACCTCGTTGAGATGTCCTGCAGGCTGATCTGAAACCCAATCCTCTACTCGCCCAGGACTGGAGAATTTAGGGTTGGGTGGATTGTGTCCTAAAGGGTACATTGCAAAGTTGAGGATGCGACTGACTTATGTTGGTTCATAGAAATAAGTGAATAGCTCGGCTCTAAACTCTTCTGGTTTTCTAGAAGAGGACGAAGATTTCGAAATGTCCCTGGAACAGCAGCATGGGCATCACCAGACAGTGAATTGGAATCTGGAATCTGCGTTTTTGAAATCCTCAGTGATTTGTGTTCACAGCAAAGGGTGCTTCTCCACCTTCATTGAAGTCCTGGGCTTCCTGTGCTGCTGGCCCTGAGAAGGCTTGCTCTCAGTCCCAGCGACAAGCCGACTGGCAATGTAAGGACAAGCAGATGTCCAGCTCCACTGTGATCAGGGCTGGACAGACTTTTCACTGAGGTTGGTGGCCGTGGCATCTTGTCCTTCCATTTCCACCTTCCCCTCCGGCCCCACACCTCTGGTTCATATTGCTATTAATTATTGCCTGTGGTTCTCATACACTACTTACTTTAATAACAAAGTAGACCTCTTCCCCGGCTGGTTTGGGAGTGCATTTTTCCCTTTCATTTTCCAAGAGCAAGAGCAAGAGCAAGGCCATGGGACCACTTAATCCCTAACCTGGAGATGGGGGCTGGGGGAGGGGTCCCTGAGGCATCAGGAGCAGGTGATCTTGGGAAAGAAAACAAAGAATTTATTAGATGAAGGGAGAGAAGAGGGAGCAGCCAGCACATCTCAAATTCTCATCTGCAATACACCTGGGAGCTGCAAATGGGGATCCAGGAGGTCAGGATGGAGCCAGAGAATCTAGTTCTTACAAGATACACCAGGTGATACTGATCTGATTGGCCCAAGGACCACACTTTGAGTAGCGTATCCTAGGCAACCCAAGGACATGTTCTATTCAGTTTTATACCAAGATGGCATGCACCTGCCCCAGAGAAGATGTGAATAGTTTGTAAATATTCATTGAACTTAACACTATCTGATAGATAGACTGTGGTGAGTGCTTGAATTCGTATCATAGTTCTGCAAGATAGAAAATGTTTTGACTGTAAAAGTGGGGCTAATGCTTTATGCACCGAGAGGCTAAGTTACTTGCTCAAGGCTACACAGTTAATGTGGCAAGTTGTTATTCTCCAAACATACCACGTGTTCCCCTACACCTCTCTAGCCTCCTCTGAAGTTACTTAAAGCTGTTGAACTCATTCCAGGCAATGGCCTGCTGGGGACGGGGCATGCCCCTCTTCTGGCTGAGGCAATTAGGAGCCTCCAGCTCTCTTTGTATTCTGCCATCTGAAACATGTGGGCCCCAAGGTGAGGTCGGCAGGGATGCTGTTCTGCAGACTTCACAGGAGATACACCCATCTTGCTCTATTTAAACCACTTCAGGTTTTAGCTTTGTTGGATCATTCTGACTAGTCTAGGCTCATTATTGATATCAGAGTTCTTTGTGTAACTAGCTTTTTATCTGGGGCCCTCAGGCCCCTAAATGGGTGCATATGCCCAGTGCAGCCTGGATTAGGCAGGACCAGTACTGCCAGTGGGCTGAGCCCAGATAATGCTGGGCCAGCGCTGAGAAACATCTCAACAGCTCACAGCATTGCTTGCTTTCTAGCTCTGTTCTTTATCTCGAACAACTTTCAAGCATTGTTAGGTGAAGAAAACCATGTTTTAGAGATAACAAACTGAATAAATTATGTTTAGAACACTATTAATGAACATTTACTCAAATAACTTTTCTACCTTGATTGAATCCACACCCACTGGCTGCTTAGGTCTGAGTGGGCAACTGACACCTACTCCTAATGGCACTTCTGGAAGGTGATTAGATCCTGAGGTGATTAAGTGGAGTCCTCAAGAATGGGATGCCTTTGTAAAAGAGGCCTGACAACTAGATTGCCCTTCCCACCTTGGGGACCTGGCGAGAAAGCATTTCCTGTGATCTGGGAATTGGACCCTCAATAAGCACCAAACTTTATGGCAGCTTGACCTTGACTTTCCAGCTTGCAGAACTGTGAGAATACTATGGACTGGGTGCTGATAAACAGTAGCAGTCTGTATGTGATAGCAGCTGAGCTCGGGCAATGGATATGAATCCCACAAAAGATTGCAGGTGCATTATCTCACTTGTTTTATGTCAAAAGAGTATAAACACGGTGTTTCTAGGTATGTTGAACAAATAGAAAAATTGACTCCAGAAAAAATAGAAAACCTTTTTAAAAGTCTCATTATAGAAACCAAATAAATATTTGAGACTTTCCGACATCAACCTCCCATATGCCCCATCCATGTTTCTCACTCTTGGCTAAAGACACCTCTCCAGTGTTTTAATGGTGAGATAAGTGACTTACTGATTCAATAGCTGATACCTATTCTCTGAAACAATTTGCATCAAACAGAAATAGGAAAAGTGACCTACTTTATTCTATGAGAATAGTATAATCTCAATAATAAAACAGTATAAGGACAGCACTTAAAGAGGAGATTACAGACCAGTATCACTTACTTAAAAGATTCTTTGATCTGTAAACTCAGCAGTATATACATATAAATGGTTCATGACAAAGTAGGGTTCATGCCAGGAATAAACTCAACATGAGAAAAATCTATTTAAGTGATACACTACATTAGGGTTTTTAAAAAAGAAGAAAAAGCAATTCAAAATTATATAAACTGAATATATGTAGCTATAAAAACTCAAAGAATTTATGAAAGAGCAGGAATTGCCTTAAGCCAGGTGTCTTCCAAAAACTTATGACAAAAATAGGTTTTTGAAATGGTGAAACTCAACTCTTTTCCAATGTTGATTTCTTTTTAAATGCTAATCTTTTCTCTGCATAGGAAATAAAATGCACCCATTTTGATTTCAATTTCATATCACAGTGGTCAGGACTTTCCTGAAGCCCTTGAGCAGAAGAGGTGGTGGAGCGTTTCCCTGGAGCGCTCTCCGTCCTGCTGCCTGGGGAGTCACTCAGTTGTCTAAAATACTGAATTTGTGTGTGAACCAAATTGTGCTGAACCCGCTTGCATACTGCAGATATGATCTTTCCCACCTTCTTCTGAGCTTTGATTACGAGACCTATAGGTTTTATTATAGTTATTGCAAATTAAGTATTTTCCCCCAAATAAAGGGAACCAATTATAAAATGTTACAGGTCTGGAACAACTTTACATCTTCAAACACATTAACAGAATGAACAGGAACACTATGTTTCCAGTAATGCCAGTTTTCTGCAAATGCATCCAGAATTTCAATTTCTTCCAATGAAAATCTCAAGTTTGACCATCTGACTTAAAAATGCATATGAAAGAGCCAACAGCCAAGAATAGACAAGGCCGTGGATGTACCTTTATGAGACCTGCTGTGGAGATGTCTCCACTTTGTGTACATCTGTGTCAACAGTAAACTACCATCTGAATTAACTTGAAGCCTCACAGCACAGTGAAATGTAGTGGCACAGAGACCCTGCCATAGGACCCCAAAAATATGAAACCTGGGTGTCTGGGGTTGAGTTAGGGCAGGGAGGAGCCTGGACACCCAGGCAATAGGTATTGGGCCAGCAAGGTGATGATCTGCCTGGAGCTTACTTGTGAGACTGTGGCTCCAATACAATGAAGGCATTTTTTTTTTTTTTTCACATAGAAAAATATCTGGACCTAGAGCCTTTTGCAAAATATTTCAACAGGTGTAGAGCTGATGGATTATATGTTAATATGCCTACTGTCAAGTCAAAAAATTATGTTCTTGATATTGAATTTAATATGAAAGTTAGGAAAGGATTTCTAAAATAAAACACAAACACAAAACCAAAAGGAAATTTTCTTTATGGGTTCTTAAGAGTCTATATTTCTTTCCTAAAGTTTAAAAACAAATTTAATAGGAGACTAGATGAAGAATATCAGCAGGTTATTCACAGGAAATCCAAACATCCAATAAACACTTGTAAAGGTACACTACTTCATTAGTAATCCAGGAACTGCACATGAGCCTAATCAAGTACTTCTTCAAGTTTGGCACTTTCAAAGATGAAGTTCCTGCTTCTCCATATCTTCAACAATGCTTCTCAGAATGTTCAATTTCACAGCTCTCAGGTGGCAAGTTGCTTTCCGTGTGGACAACTACCATTTATACTTCTCCAACATGTGTGCTGGGCATCATCCCTGCTGCTGCTCCTCTGTATACTCTTATGGGGGCGCCGAGTAGCCCCTTCCCGAGACTGTGATTGGGAGTGGGCATCTGTGCGTTGCTTCTTAGCTGTGCAGGATCCTCTCCTCTTGCTCTTGTCTTAGTGACGGAGATGCTCAAGTGGTCCAGATGGTGCAGTTACGAGAAGGGACCCTCTATAAGCCCAGGTCCCTAACAGATGAGGGGAGCTGAGTCCCCTCATCCATCTGTGTTGGACATATAGTGTGAATGAGAAATAAGAATCTGTTTGACCAAGTAGGATTGGAAAATAAATGATACTCTTAAAGTCCGCTGAGCAACACCAGTTCTCTAGGGCAAAGACCTAGAAATAGGGCTGCTGGGGCACTAATACAGAAAGCTGGCAGAGAACTGGCATTTCTTGAACGTTACTCAAACCCAGCCTAGCACACCCTAGCTTCAGATTCATAAATAAAGTCCAGTGCTTCCTGTCAAGATGCTCAGACATCACACCAAGTGCCCTGGTATTTACAGTTTGCTTCCCCTTCTCCCGTGCGGTTTAGCATGGCAGCCATCAGGAATGTGGATACTTGAAATTGGCTGGGGTTACAGAGAAACTAGATCTTAGTTTTAAAATTAAAGCAATGTAAAATATCTTCCTGTTAAACACTTGATTTAACCAAGGATTGTTGTAGGATTGCTTTTTATTGTAATTGAAAGATTTAACATTAAAACTGAAACATGTCAGGGTAAAATACATGCCAGGTTTTATATTGCTAAAAAAAAAAAAAAGTGTATTGGGTCAAATCGGTCTTATTAAAGTTCACACCTGTTCTTTTTGGTGTGATGGCAGGTGGCACAGACTGGCTTGCACTGTGTTCCTATTGGACAGGGCTGCTCTGCACCAAGTCTACATTCCTTGGCATGGAGTCTCATGCCAGTAAGGTCGCCTGGAGCCGGCACCTTAAGGCAATGGTGGCAAGTGGAGCTGTGACCATAAAGAGCTCTGCACATAGCAAACAGGGCCTTGTGGATGTGAGAGGCACCACAGTGCTCCTGCCCAACACTGTCCTAGATGTCCCTTCCTCCATCCCCAAGGAAAGCTGCTGAATTGGAGCTATTCTGAATCCTCCCGAGATGAAGCTTTCTTAGTCACTGCACTTCTTAGCTGTCCTGCCTCTCAGTCCTTTCTGCCCGTTCTCTGTTCCGTTCACCACAATGAGCCTGCCTGGTAGTCCAAGCCTAAACAGACCTCTCTCCAGGCTGCCAAAGCCTCATGGGATCGCTACACTCTTCCCCAGAACCCTTGTCAAAGGCGACAACACTATGGCGGGGTCCTACAGGACCCAGGATGACGACTCATTTCAGCTCACACAAACACCACTGGACCAGATTGCTGAAACGAAGCAAAGCAGCCCTCCTGTCATCCTCAGGCTCTGCTGACATTTCCTGTCCCTTGACTGGGACCTGGGAGTAAGACAGGAACATTAAGAACACTCTTCAAATATCCTAATTGCCCTTCTTCCCAAGTATGTGTGGATTCAGGTACAGGGGTCAGGTATGTCTGGACAGGTGACTCAACCGTGCAGACACTCCCAGGGCCAGTGGGCTCAGGGACCTTCCACCCGTGCCCCTTGACTTGAGAGGCCAGACATGTGAGGGGGTGAAGTGTGCAGATTCCTTCTCTGCCAAGCCACTGGGCATGGTAGGAAAACTGCCTCTCCCCTCCCACCACCATCCAAACCACATCACTTGAAATTTAAGACAAAACACAACAAAGTCACCGGCTTCACCTCAGGGTATGCACGAATAACCAGCAGTGCCCGATTCCAAGCACTCGGTGGAATTCAAAGCTCTTGGGCTGTACAGATTGATTCCTTCACCTCATGTAATCCAGACAGGCATCATAGACAGGCTGTGCAATGGCCACCTTGCTTAACATGTGAAATCAAGGGCAGAGAAAATGGTACAGTTGCTTTATTTAACAAAACTTACTCCGACATCTCTATCTATATACAAATGTGTTTCAAAACCAGAGCAGCAGACACACAAACTGTTAACCCAGGAATTATAATAATGCTTAACTTGTTATACAAAGTTTTGTTTTCCGATCAAATAGACATTCACGGATTCAAAAGGTGGAGCAGCATCACGTCTTTATTTTTTGGGATGGCTTAGAGAAGTCCTAAAGAAAGAGCAATGGGGCTTTCGAGGCTAAGTACCTTGTGTTCAGTTCAGCTCTGTGTAAGGGCTCACCAAATGTTTTGGACTGGGGATAAAAATTTGAATAAAATATAATCTGTTAGGAGCATATTTAGTGTTTTTGTTTTGTTTTTTACATTTTTACTCTATTTGCCTATAACAAATATAACAAGTTTGCCTATTTCTGGTCCCCAAAAGTAAAAAAGCCTACTTTAAAAAATAAGTTTAAAATAATTTTATTAGTACTATTAATAAAATGTAGTGACTGGAGATCCTTCAAAATCAAGGGAAAGAGTATTCAACACTGTCCTGCCCACTCCCTCCAATTCTGTTAGAAACTTGTTTATCTCATGACATTTACCTACATGTTAATAAGCTATTTTCTAAAGCTATTTAGGGAAGACAGCCACTTTTGTTTCCCCTTTTCTATGAATTCTAGGAACACTTTGAACTCCTTAAGTACGTAGTTCCAAATGTCCCGAAAAGGTCTGCTACATATTCTACTCACAAAATTCAACTCCACACAAGTACTCGACTTGTGGCTTAGATAATACTTGAACAACAGTCAGTGCTGTCAAAGGTCAATATTTCACGTGGACACTTAACACTCTGAGCAGATAGATCCAGGGCTAGCTCTTGGCTGGCCCTTTCAGGAAGAAGCTACTAAGTGGTGAGGTATCGAAGATAAAAGTAAAAGTCACAGCATTTTCTTCCCTTCTCTCCACATTTTAGGTTTCTTTACGCTAGAGGGGTGTACGGTGTAACATGGATAAGGTTTCAGAATGCTCTTATGTGATGCTGGTTCACATAAGCCACTTACCACAAAGCACCAAATAAAAAAAGACTAACAACTAAATGTCATAATAAAATGATTCACAGGGGTGTCCACTCCTGTTTGTTCATATAAATTAGATCCTATCACATACTGTGCTTTCATTTTCTAAAAATGAGATCAAACCATTATAAAAATGTACTTCCAAAATAAATTATTTCTAGAATATAAAAATGTTTTACATTTTCCCAGCCCACATATCATTATAAAATAGGAAATCAGAAAAGTAGCTATTGCAACTTCCATGTGGTAAAAAATATTTATAAGTGTACACACACATATATACACATATATAAAAAATGCAAGTTTTAAATTCCAATAAAAATTAGCCAATTAATCAACTTAATGATCATGTATTGAATTATACCTAAGAAATGCTGATTATCTATGAGAACAAACTTCAGAGGAGTACAATCCCACATATGAGACTTTCCCATGTGGGAAAAATCAGGAAGTCTCCATTGACAACCTGGTAAGTCAGAAATCCCTGGTGTCCTTTCCAGATGTACTGCCCCAGTTCCACTCTGCACTGTTAACCACCCCGAGGCAGGCCCTTCCTGAAGGGGAAGGGTCATTACTGCACCATCTGTGTCCTGCCTGAAGGTCAGCTCTCCTCCTGGGCATGAGAGGACTAAAATCCAGCCATGGGGGATGTTTACAGCTGTCCATCTGCCTGAAAGCCAGGCTTATGCAAGGGCGGGGCTGCTCCTAATGTGTGCAAAGGTGCTTTGCAGCTCAGGCACAGTGCAGGCGTCTGTGGGTAGAAGGACTGATCTTCTCCCAGGAGAGGTGAGCAAGAGAACACGTGTGGAGAAGACAGATGGGGGCAGATTGTTGCACTGAAAACCAGGGAGTGTCTGCTACCACCTTGACAAACACAAGTGTGTAATGGGGCGGGGGGGGGTCCCTTCCATTTTGGTGATTCCTGACAGCTTCTACTAAGTTTCATGAGGAAAAACTGTGCCTCTTCAGAAAAAATGGCCAAAGAGAGTAAAGTCTGACCTTGGAGAGGTGTCCCTGACTCCAGTGATCCAGGACAGCAGGCAGCATGCACCCCGTCTCAGGACGAGTTCCCAAGTGAACACTTCGCCCCTTCCCAAGGTACTTCCCCAGTCACCCTGAGCTGTCATCCCAGGGTCCACCTCTGCTGTAAGAAGCCACTCCCTTCACCTTTGAACTGGTCACTTAATTTATGCTTGTGGGAGTTTTAAGGGGACTTGACTTTAGATCTTTTCCTTCATAAAATCCCCCCTCCCCTAGAAGGCACATTCCCTATCCAATTGTTACAATTCAGGATTTTTAAAAGAAAGCAAAAGCTAACACTTGGAAATATTTGCTTTTGTTTCATAATGCCTGTTGTTGAAATAGTAAATGCAGGCAAACCCTTGGAACTGTTCTTTAAAATAGACAACATGAGCACAACTCCACAACACATACACACTCAAGAGTACTACAGAGTGGGGAGGGGTTAAAAAGAATGCCATTCCCACTATCCTTTTTTTTTTGCAGTGCTGATGATGGAAGCCAGGGTCTTGTGCACCACTGCGCTATACTCCCAGGACCAATATGTCAACTTTTTAAAAAATAAATTTAAAACAAGTAATACAGTAGAAAATATAATTCTCATTATGTACCAAATATTCAGGAGAGGAGTTAAAGCAGAAACAAAGTGGAAATGCACACCGAAACGTAGATTTAATTCTTCAGTAGCATTTATATAAGGAGCAGGTGTAAATTATTTTAAACTTGCTCCTCCTAACTGGAATATGAAAGATTTGTATCTACTCAGAAAAATGGATACTAAACAAAGAGAGGTCTTAGACCCCACTGAAAATCTGTTGAGAACTTCACATCCTTTCTCCAGAAAAATGCATGTACATCCATTTGTGCGCGCACAATTTCAGGGGCTTTAAATACCTCCCAGAGTCCAGACATGTCCTGGGGAAGAATCCACATTTCCACAGGGATCTGAAGAATCCACAACCCTCATCCCCCTAGACTGCATTTCTCCTATTGAATCTGGGGGAATCATCCCCCAAACAGAAAAATTAAAAAGAAAAGCAAATCACTTCAAAGACCACTCTTTCCTCATTTGCCCTTGGAAGAAAGAACATCCCAGTCTCTAGTTGCCTCTATCAAATGCCGCTGGCCATGACTCATCCACTCTTCCTGGTCCTCATACAGCCGCCCACAAAACCAGCACTTGAATATACACTGGGACGAATCATCGGGCAAGGAGTCCACCACCTGGTAGTTGTTTTTATGAACCTTTTTCAGTTTCATTTTCAACATCATTTGCCTTTTGAGCAGATTGGCATCCTCCACGTTCTGGTAGGTCAGTCGCATGTGCTGCCGTCGAATGCCAAGCTGACACCTTGTCCTTTCTGATAAAACCACCTTGAGGACGTTGCCCTTGTACTTATTGATCACCTTCATCACATTGGTCACTTCTGGTGAGTCCACATCAGGATGATTTAGCACGATGACTGGCTGGTTCCGACGGGGGCATTTAATCAACTGATCTGGTTTGGCGGCCATCAGTCGGAGCTGTCTGGCAACCTGAAAAACGGAAGGATCCTTGAGGCAGCGGTTGGCATTGGCCTGAAGTTTGCTTTTCTTCTTGGATGAATTCACTTGCCTGGTTTTATTCCTACTCATTGGAAGACTCCTGGACAGCAGTCTCCCTGGCCTCCTCAGGTCACTACAGCCATGCTGTCCAGGCCCAGGGCCAGTTTTCCTAGGGATGGCGCTACACATAGCATCCTCTTTTCTTGGTTTAGGCCGAAGAGCTGTCTCGAGACCTGGGGACATGTCGATTGGCCCACTGTCACTGGTCAAAGGCTGCAAGTCTGAGTCTGTCTGTTTCATGGGGCAGTAAGGAGCTGGTTTTGGTAACTGTGCTTTGCTGCAAGGTATGCCGACAGGTGCGTCGCAGGTAGCCTCTATGATGTGGGCATCCTCAGAGGAGTTGAGAACCCTCAACACGGCCCCTTTGGGGATCAGCACTGGAGTGGCCACATGAGCCTTCCTGGTCCCTCTGCTTTCAGTGTTCCCCTCACTGCCATTAGCAAACTGTGGATAGACCTGCTGATGAGCAAGCTGTCCACTGCCAGTGACATCATCTTCATTCTGAGGTGTCTGGAGGGGACCTGTGGAAGTGCCTGGGCCAGGAAGTGACAAGTTAATGTCCTGAATGCCTTCAGGTGTTGCTTTGGAGGTTCCCTTTGACGTGGACCGACCCCGTGCACTATTTGCAGACAAAGACGAAGGCTTGCCACAGGACTCAATCAGCTGGGCGATCTTTCTGCGTAAGAGTTCAATTGACTTTATTTTGGATGTTGAACTATTCCACTTAATGCCCTCTGGGACATTTTCAGACCCAGAGCTCAGAGAAAATACTGATGAGATGACAGGGCCCTCGGAAGTCTCACTGGTCCTTTCAGAATTCTTCAATTCCCCAGGGTCGCCTCCAGGCTCAGATCTAGTTCCGTCTTCCCCTCTGGTCATATCTGTGTATAAATACTCACTCTCCTGTGAAGGGGAGGTCTGGCTTAGATCTGAAGCTGCCTTGTCCTCTGCCTGGTCACCTTCCAGCTTCCCAGGAGAGGAAGCCATTTTAGCAGGAACATTGCTCTGACTTCCAGGTTCCAAGTCACTCTGACTGACTGCAGGTAGTAAGCCCTTTTCCCCAAAGAAGGAAGTGGCTGGAGGTGTCAGAGCCAGATGAAATAACGGCTGAGAGTCACTGTGCACATTTCTTCCATCTTTTGTGAAAGAATCGGCAGCTTTAGAAGGAAAAGGGTCTGAAGCAGCTCCGAGACCACACATGGCACCACTTTTCAAGACAGAGGCTGGAGAGTGACCTTTTAAGGAGGTAAAAGGAAGAGCGGTCCTATGTGAATACAAATCATTCCTTGTCTGCAAATTCTCAACCCCATCAGAACTGAGAAGGTGTTCCCTGTGATCCTGCACACGGGAGCCAGACACAAGATCACAAGACCTCACCCACTTCACATCTTTCAGTTGTCTCTGAACTGAAGACCGAAGGTTATCTACACCTACAAGTCTTCCAGTGTTCCCTTCTATTGCTAGTGACTTTATATTTTCTGCAGAAAATACATTTTCTGGCTCCTTTGAACACTTCTCTTTAGTCACATGCTCTGGATCGCCTCCATCGCCACTGCCAGCTTCCAGGTGACTCTTTTCCTCCAGTGGAAACAGTTTGAGAAGGAGCTGCTGTGTGCCGTTGACAACCTTCACGTCCATCAACTGGGCTAAACAGTTTGCAGGGACAACTAGCTCCGCCGGGGCCACGACCGTCAGTGGCACACCGGGTTGAACGGGTTCCTTTGAAGGAGATAACACTTCCACCTCAACGCTTTTGTTCTCAAACAGACCAACTTCATTTGGCTCGGGTAAGGTCATTTGATTGGGAATACACACAACATCTTTCTGGTATTCCTTTGATTCAGGTAGCAATAGGATATTGTGAATTTTGTCTTTATTAGCATGAAGAGAGAATCTTGAGAGCTGATCCGACAACCTGTTCTGAAATGCGGTCCTTAGGCTAGGGGCCTTTAAGAGCTCTATGTTCTGTCTGGAAATGCTAGTTCTTTTTGGGTCCAGCTTGGTGGCAGTTTTGAGAGGTCTCTTAGCACCAGCCCTCTCATGGACTCTCTTCCTGTGCTTGACAATGTAGTCATTTCTAATAGCACCATAGTCACAGTACTCACACTGATAAGGGAATATGCCCGTGTGCTTCACCAGGTGCCTCTGAAACTCCCCCTTTGTGTAGGAGACGTAGCTGCAGTGGGAACAGATGAATCTGATCTCCTCGTGCTGCAGCGTGTGCTTCCTGTGCTGCAGTGGGTCCTTGGTGGAAAACCGGCACTTATCACAGTAGTATTTGCCTGGCTTAAAGTTCCTCACCTTGAATTTGTTATTGATGGGACTCGAGATGGCTTCGGTTTTGTTTCCAACATGAGTGGCCCTGGGATCCCCATTCATGAAGTGAAAATGGGGAGGAGCCGTCTGAAGGCTGCATGGGAGGCAGACATATCCGTCTTCCGTTTGGCCTTGCCCAGGACCCTTCTTCAAATCTTGAAGAGGGACTTTGTGAACACTTCTGCACTTTGCACATGTTGCAATAGTCATCATGGCAGCCTCCGCCTCCGAGCCCTGATACAAAAGGGCCTGTGCTTCTTGTCTGTCTGGCCGAGTTGCTCTGTTAGAATTAGGGTGTTTGGGTGACAGGGTCAAGGAGTTATGTGTGCCATTCATTGGGGTAGCGTACGAAGGCTCTCCAATATCCTTCATCTTCTTTATTTGCATTTCTAGAAAGAGCGGACTGAAATTCAGAAAGAGTTCACATGACAAAATCCTTCGGAGGCACCCTGCAGCACACTGTGCTTGGTGGCGGGTAGGTACTTCACAACTTTTCTTTGGTACACTGCCACTGTAGGAGCATGCTCCAAAATATGACTGCTGTCAATCTTCTGACATTCCAGGCAACACTATAGGAAAACAAAAATCACAAAGCATGATCAATATAAGAATTCAAGGTTTGCTTAAGCCATTATCAAAGTTACTCTACATTTTAATGGCCTTGGGAATCTGATGGTAAATCTCAATATGTGATCTTACATGTGTGTTAAAGTAACACTCCGCACAACAGAGCTGGCAGCCGAGTTGATATTGAACACATTTTCAAACTAGGCCCCCACAAATCACCACGTTAGGCTATGAATGCAGGACACTTGCAGGAAGGACTTTATAGCAGCCATTAGAAGAGCCTTTGATCAGTGAAACTTATTTTTAATTGTTATTAAGAAGCAGTTTTTCAGGTTTAATGTCATATTAGCCTCCCCAAATCTTCATCCCGGACTTTTTCAGTTTGATTTTTGAATATGTGAGTCAGCCAGGTGGAGCCAGGGCTCCTCTCAGTCCTCATCAGTTTGGACGCCAGCTCTTGCTCACACAGCCAATCTGCCAGTGACACAGACAACATTGTGAAGACAAAAATTACTCCTTCAACATCTTACTGAGCATCTGTCAAGGGCCAGGCATTATTCTGAGTGCTGCAGGGCAGTGGACCAAGGCGGACTGGTCCCTATGCTCAGGTGCGCGATGACAGAGGACAAGCCAAGCCTGTACTCACTGTCAAGCAGAAGGGGGAGAACTGGGTAGGAAACACGGTAAGCCAAGGCGAGGAAAGACCTGGCCTTGGGATGAGTGACCTAGGTGTAGAGTAGAGACCTAGGTGACTGGGGTGTGACCCCTACGTGTGTCCTGGAAAAGTCTCCACAGAAAAGACAAAGGTCGCTGGAAAGTGGGCATGGTGCACTTGAGGAAGGAGGGAGGAGTGGGCAGCTGCCAACATGGTCAGAGGGACAGGGGACTGGCTGAGGAAAGCTGTATGACGGGTTTCACAAGACAGGGGCTTTTCCTCTGCCTGAGATGGAGGACCAGGTGAGGCCTGGAGCAGCGGCATGACATCTGATTTATGCTCCAACAGTCTCTAGCCGCCATGAGGCCAAGACTCTACAGGAGACAAGACGATGGCAGTGGGGAGACATGGACGGCTTGGGTTGGGCAGCAGGAGTGGCCGGTGTTTCCCAGAGCAAGGATCCTTCGACACTCATATTCTACATGTTACTCAGGGACTAATTTTCAACTCATCTTTAATGGCACTTATTTTTTTCAAAGTATACAGAACCAGGAGCTTGACAGAAACCATTCTTGCCAGAAGCCTTTCTTTTATGATCTTAGAAAACCACTTAAATCTCTGGAGTTCAAACTGTCATCTGGTCATTAGAATTAAGAACGCCGATCCAGCATCACCCACAGAGCTGCTGTGATAACTAAGACACTAAAGCCTTTCTCCAAGTGCCAGGAGGCACAGAGGACCTCAGGTCTCTTCCATGGTGGGCAATATGAGTGTCGGTCAGCAGCCCAGGGCCATTAGGCCAAGATCCACACAAAGGTAGTGGGAAAGTGCTTTCTGTAGGGTGAGAAGAAGCAACTGCTACGCATTCAGACCTGACATGAAACTTGCCCTTCGAAAACAGCTTTGAAAAGCAACAGAAGAACGTATAGTGTACAATAATAAGCCCTATTTTCTCCTGCAGTGTTCTCTCCCTATTCTGCTGTGAAAGATAGTGACCTTCTTTCAAAAGCAATTTCCAGTGTGCAGTCAAACCCTGATGGCATCTACAGACTCCAGCCCTGTCCAGCCTTGCGTGCACATGGCATCCAGGCAGCTAGTGGACAGAGGCCTGGGGCTGAAAGATGCTGTCCCTCTTCTCCACCTACAGTAGGGCACCATTGCTTGGGAGGAGACACATGAAATGCCCTGAGCAGGCAACACATGACACAGGAGGGACACATACCTTCTAGTCTACTGCACTCCTGGTGCAGACCACAGGCTCCTCTTCAGGAGTCACTAGAGATGAGTGCACTTTATTTTCCAGATCTATAAACTAGGTTCAGTGAAGGGAGTTAGAAGGGACACAATGAACTTCTAGGTGGCCTCAGGTGAATTACCCATCTGTAGCTGCTCGTTCATTTATATAACACAAGGCTGGGCCATGTGATTTCTAAGACCAGTCTGATATCGCTGACCCTTGAAATCTGACTTGACCACACAAGAACCCTACATCTGTATGTTCATGCCAACATTCTTAGCCAGCTAAACCAAGCGCCACAGCTGCACTTAGAACCCCAGCGAACCACAGGCCCAAAGGATGCAGAGGCTGAAGTCAGGTGATAGAAGGATGAGGTCCCTAGGTTTCTGCATTCTGAAGGAGCCTTAGAATCACAGCAAAGACACTCTCCTGGGCTGCAACCGTTGGCTAGGGAATCCCAGGCTCTGGGGAGAGGGCAGGGGAAGAGGTACCTGGTGTGGAAAGCCATTTCAGGTAAAGCTGATGTAAAGCCGATATTGGAAATCACCAGCTCAAGTGTCCAGCGACACTTCACCTTAAAACTTCCCCACCACTGACCACGCGTCAAGCTCCTCCTTTGTTAGGCAGCGGATTTTGCTTTTCACCTAGTTTTCATTGTTAACAATTTATCCTAAATGAAACAGGAACTGGCTTCCTTGTAACTTTCTTCCATCTTGACACTGGAGCTGCAAAAAAAAACAACTTAATCACTCTTAATAGACCAGCTAATAATCTGCACATCTCTTATCTAGTAGTCCTTGATTCTTAATTCTGTCCCAAAGGTTTGAATACCAATCAATACGTAAAATCTCTTCTGTCATCTACCAGCCTCATAATCCAGAGAGAGACTAAATTACTTAACCTAGCACAACTTGCTCATCAACTGTTTCAACATATAATTCTCAAAAGTCACATGCCAACATTCCTTTTTTTTTTTTGAAGAATTGTTCAACCCAGGATTACATTTGCACATTTCCAGTTTTTCAGCGTCTTTCTCAGCCTCCACGATTTTTAAAAAAATCAAGAAATGGTGTTTTGCCACTTTTCTTTCCAATCTTTTAAAAACTTAGAGGGTGTTATTCTTCCTGAAACTTGAGAACAGACTGGACTGCAAGATCATGACCATCAGCAAGAAGTGGACAGCAACTGGAAAGAAGTCCCCAGAGAATCAGGCTGGTTCTGATGCCTGAGAAACACACACTTTTTTTTTGAGGCACCTCTGCAAAAATATCTAAGCAGCTGTGTGCGCGCCTCAACGTATGGTAGGGCTATATCCCAATAAACCCACTGTAAATCGAAAACATTGTAAGTGAAAAATGCATTTAATCCGCCAAACCTACTGCATGTCAGAGCTTAGCCTAACCTGCCTTCAATGTGTTCAGAACCATTACCTAGGTCTACAGTTGGCAAACCACCCAGCACAAAGACTATCAGATATTCATGCATTGAACACCTCATGTTATTTATTGACTATAGTGGCTATCGAATATGGTGTTGGTCATTACACTTGCGGTTGCATGGCCTATTGGGAGTTCACTGCCTCTGCCCTGCATCATAATACTGTTGTATTGCACATCACTAGCCTGGGAAGAGAACAAAATTCAAAATTAGGAGCATAATTTCTACTGAGTGCATGTTGCTTTTATAACAAAATCATGAGTAGAACCATCATAGGTTAAACACCATCTGTATTCTGAACTGAGAATCCATAGGAGCAACTGATAATATGAAGCACGAATCTTTGACCTGCAGTTTCATGGGGGAAGCAGGGAATCTGGCCATGAGTGCACTGTCAACTGTTTGACAGCATCTTTCTTGGCTTCTAAACTATTTCCAAAATAAATTAGTATTACTACTTTGCAATTTTCCTCATTCTTGGTGGAAAAGATGGGAGGTTCCTTCAATACAAAGTTCCTTTTGGCCTTTGCAAATCTATGGCTAGTTGCAGCAGAGTGTGGCCCATGGAATAGCTCAGATGTAATACTTTAAGATAAAGGTAAATGCACAGAGCAGCAGGGAACCACAAAGTGGCCAAGATATTGGTATTTGCATATGAATACTCCTGAGAGCTCCCAAACCCCAGTTCTTTGCATACAAAGTCCTCTATCCAAATACAACCACCAGAGAGGCTGAGTCTTCTGGATAAGTAATTGCTCAGTGGGCTGATAACAGAGGATTATATAAACACAGTAGATAAAGATTTGTGCATGGGTGCACTGGATGCTGAGGGCCCTCAAGAAAACACCACACTAAATCAGTGTCGGAGTTCACAGACTTTCCCAACTCACCCAGCCTTACAGAAGCCCTGCACTTGACTTCCTGGGACTAGAAACATACTTTTATTTTTCTCTTTCATATAATTTAGAAGTGCTCTCAAAAACACAGAAATAATAGTCTTGTTATCATTATGGCACAAAATGTCCCTACCATTTAGATGCCTGTTTGGTATAAGCTATTCAAGCAGCAGAAGTGAGCTTTTCAATACAGAGTTACCTACAGCAAAACCCCGCATGACAGCCATGCAGGAGAGAAGCAGCCCTCTGCCTAAGAAGCCTGCTGTCCGCACTGTCTTGTCCTCCTCAAAGGAAAGGCTTGGGAGGAGGCCTAACACTCTCTCGCACTGTGTGTGTGTGTGTGTGTGTGTGTGTGTGTGTGTGTGTGTGTGTAGGAGGTTCCTCTTCTTCATTTTTGAGCTTACTCGTCCTGATTTCCAAAATACTTATTATGGGGACACGAGGGAAAAATCGCTGAGTTTGGAAGAAACCAGTTAAGTGATACTAAGGATTATAAAATGTGCAAGATTGTATAAGTTCTTACTAAAAATGAAGCATCTGACTTCTAAATGCTGGAAGTGACTCATGCTCAACAGAATTAGCAGAGAAATAAGAGGTAAAATCATGTTTAAAGCTATAGATTCTGCAAAGAGACTACAGGGTTTAAAATCATAGGATTTCCTAGATGTGAGGCCTGGGCAAACTGATTCCTTACCAGGAGAGCAGACATCAGCAGGACCCCCACCCCCAGGGCTGTCATGAGGACACAGGGTGAGGTGGTGAGGGAAAGTGCCTGGATAAGTTATGGGCACACTTTAAGTTGTTAAATCTATTACTTTCTATTGTTTTAATGAAGAAATTTTGCCAATCCTAAGAGGGGCTAAATTACAGGCTTCTTAGCTGCCTAACAATTGCTCTTTCCAGAATATACACTGAATTTCATTTTATAATTTTAATCACAATTGTTTGATTGTACAGATTAAAACAGTTTACCTCTAGGGCAAGACCTCCTGTTAGTTTTAGTGGCAAAGGCTACCAGCTGCATACAATCTCCACAGAACTTTGGGTGTGAGCTGGTTACTGACCTGCCTTCTCCAGCCTGCCCCTTGAAGCACAGCCACACCGTGAGAGCCCTGTAGCAGGAAGGTACCTCTGAGCTGGATGTTAGCGTGAAAAAGAAGAAGAGTGGCAGGCCTATTATATCACCTACATTTTCGTGCACGAACAGTGTCCAACAAACTCAGAGCTAGTAGGCTGGCTGCTGGCATCCTCTGTGGATGAGAAGCCAATGGAAGCAACTCTTTTCAGGCATTCTGACTTAGAAACTCTGTCTCACTGTGGCTCCCACCACATCCCTCACTGGGGCAGGGGTACAGCTGATATGCCCATGAAAAGCACAGGAATGGGGCTGGAAGGTCTAGGGTTCAAACTCTGGTCCTGTCCTGTATTTGCTGGGTGTCTAGACAAGTGATTCCTCTCTATTTGTTGCAAGGAAACAGCTTTACCACCCTCAAACTTAAAGGGCTATTAGGAGTAGACACTGGTAAGGTATGTAAAGTCCCCAGCCCAATGGCACAGCCACTCAAAAACTGTACCTGAGTGTTCCTTTGTCTCTTTGGCTATAAAAAGGCTCATCTTACTAGTTTTTCCCAGTGACCCAAATTTTAACACAATTTTACCCTAAGTGCCCAGAAGATGTAGAAGAGCGACATCGGATAAGGGTAAAAAAGAAAGAAATCCGACATTTGCCATGTTAACTGGACATACTTCCTCAGTAGGATATTTAGGAAGAAACTGTTGCCTCAGCAAGAGCTTTTTCTGACCATTACAGCAAATCAGAATTGAATTGAATGGATAAATAGATCTCAACAGGAAAAAATAACAATTAAGCATTGCAATCTTTATGCCAAACTACCTCACACTTAGAAATGACTGAACTGCAAACTGGGTGCCATCCTGATGGCCAAAAATTACTTCTAGAGGTTGCCAACAAACATGCCTCCCTCGGGACCTGACATTTCCTTCTGAAACTGTAGTGCATGGACAACAGACGGGGAGGAAGGCTGCAGGAGACGGTTCCTCTGTTCTCCAGATGAATGCAGCTTGGTGTAACCCCGGAAAGCGTAATGACCCCAGAGAGCAGGACAAAGTCCAAAATCTAGGTCTTGACACTAGTTGTGATTTCATACTGGTTAAGCTGGGCCTGGGTACTCTTACTTGTAAACTGGAAGGAAGAAATGCCTAACTGTCGTGGTGCTGCCAGGTACATGCAGGTGGCTTTATGCTGGGCAGAGACATTTTATCATAAAATAAGTCAACGTATATTTGTTAAGGTTCTTTCCACCGTAGGAGAAGGCAGTAAGGTCCAGAGAAGCAGAGATTAGCAAGCTTAACAAATGAGCCTAATGGAACAAAGGTCCACACCCACCCAAGCTAGGATCCTCAATCCTGTCTACAGAGTTCTTTGGGGATGACTTGGCCCAGCTAGGCACATCAACTGAATCAATATTAGGAAACAGAGGAATTTTAAGGCTTCTCCCCCTTCAACAATTTGAGAGAAAAACCTTTCAAAAGAAAGTGACTAATGCTAATGTCTATGAAGTTTAAAGCTTATTGTTTTATATATGAAAAAAAAAAACATGCTAAGGAGTAAATCTATATTAGCATTAAGTATATATAGAAGATAAGGAAAAGGAGTACTGCAAGCAACATCACAAGATTCCACATTAAAGAATCTTCCAAGTGACTTTGGATGCTCTTAATGATGCTAAAAATGTACACACAGATTTTTGGTTATTTCCATTATTTTTTTTTGCCTCTGGAAAAATACCCAAAATTTTGCAGAAAAAAATGAGTTAGGAGTTTAATTAAAAGTATAATCAAACAGAGACAAAATCTCCTCCTCCATTAGTGGTTCTTACCTTGGCTATGTAAAGGTGAACCTTGTCAGGACATGCCCAGGATGTTTAAGGAGGTCCCTGGAACAGTGGGTTACCTATTGCACACTGGAGTTACCTGGGGGCTTTAACAAGGATGCCTGGGCCCTAACCTCCCAAGACTCCAGTTTAACTGGAAGGGGCTGAGGGCAAGGGGCAGTCCAGACACTGAGGTTTGTAAAGTTTCCCAGGTGATTCCAATATGCAGCTGAGGTTGAGAACCACCTGGCCCTCCAGCGGGGCAGGTGCACAGAGAAGTGCACGGCAATAATGACACCCTGGATAGTACTTTATACTGGAGGCAAGGCTAAGCCACTGCCTTGGGACTGTAATGGAGTGACTAGACAGGAGGTCTCAGGGTTCTACCCTGCCTCGCCATGTGACCTTGGTATGTCACTGATTTTAAGGTGGGTAATGCCACAATCTACTTTGCAGGTTCTCAGAAACTTGAATGTTCCTGGTAGTGCCTGGCATGGTATGACAACAATGAGCACAGAGCAGATGATCTGATCCCCACACCCACCATGGGCTGCTGTGCCTAAGGAGTGTGACAGAAGATGGGAGAAGAAGATGGGTAGTTTCAGTGAGGATCCCTACATCAGGGATCTGAACAGGTGTGCTCAGTGGCTGGCTGCTTGTCAATCCTGGAGCACCATGGCTCAGGTGAGGTAGAAGAGGTGCCTGCAGAAGCAGGTTAATGTTACCTGGGTACTCTTCAAAGCAAGCCTTCACGTACCTGCTTCTTCCAAGAGCAAAGGTCTGCAGAAAGTATGAGGCTTTGCTAAGGCCACAGGGTTGGAGATCAACTGCTGCCAAAGGGTGTCAAATCTAAACTGCTTTCCATTACTCTGCCGTGTCAAGCTGTAAACTGAAGTCGCAGCCAGGATCTCCTGCCACTTGAGTACTGTTCTTACTTCCTGCCTGGAGCTACAGACAAGAGTCAAAATGTTGCAAGACTCAAGGGCTCTTCCTTCCCTTTCAGGCGTCCTTCTCTTCTCAAGCACCGAGGGCCACTGGTCTCAAAGCTTCCGGCCCTGAGTAGGCGTCTATGCTTAGGCTCAGAACCCTGGGTTCCACAGCTGCCTGCAACAGAAGCCAGACACTTGGATTTACGTCCTGGAGCTGTAAATCCTTGGTTTCTTGGGCACTTTTCTCCTAGAAAATAGGAGGAATGAGCTCCAGGAGTGCCTCTCAGACACTGGTGTGTGTAGCAGTCACTTGGGAGCTCAAATAAAGAGAGGAGTCCCAAGATTCATGTGACCTAATGCATCAGATGGCTCTTTTCCTAGGGTGGGGCCCAGGCATGGGGTTTAAAATTCTTCCCAGGTGATTTTTAAGCTACCTACCCCCTTCCCATGATGGGAGAGTCTGAATTAAATGATCCAGCTGCTTTTACTTTAAGAATGAACCCTGGAAATTATAGTGGGCTGGGTTCGAATATGTGAACCAAAAATGCAGTAGATTACAGGCAATGTGAGAACAATTGAAGACTGGGAAAATCCTCACTGGTGAGGCCCCTTTACCATAACCAACATCAGTGGGTTGGCCATAGAAGGCACTCAATACAACCGGATGAAAGAATGAGGGAATGAATGAAAGCAACTGAAAGCAACGCCTTCCTAGTGACAATCATAAAATGTTCTTTGTTCTTCCTCTCACACAAACACTAGCCCAGATCCTCTTACTTAAAGGCAAATAGAGCAGGAGAGACAGAAGTGTGATTTTTTTTTTAATGGTTGTTACTGGGTTTTTAAAATCTACATTAGTTTAGGGTAACATGTCAGGGAGGAGTCCCAATAAAAGAATGCTCTCCTTTGTTCTTTTCAAAGCACACTTGTAATGAATGTTACAGCATACAAAAGTGTCATTTTTCAAGGTTACTATATTAGACTCAAAATAGAAAGTAAGCAAAAAATTCATCCTTGGTTAAAAATATCACAATTTAAAAATTGGAATGATCTATTTGTATTCTACTTAAAGAAACCATATAACATTGGGTTCTAAACCATATTTTCTGACTTGCAATAATACCCTTGGCCTGTATCTGTCATGGTGTACAATCATGGGTTGGGTTGAACTTTGCACAGGTGACTCAGAAGGACTGGGAGACATTCCCATGCTCCTTCATTGCTCTTCTATAGTCAGGTACTGCAGGTTTCTGGAGGCCACAATTTTCTTCCAAGGTGATTTCAATTCTAAACTTGCAGGACAATGTTCTAAGGACTCCAACACAATATTACAGTTTAGCAGGTAGGTTTCTATTTTTAAAGAGAACAAAGTACTTGGTATTTCACTTTTTATTTTGTAATGTTACTCTGACAAATCATTCATTATCCTAGTTTTAAAAACCAGGGGCATTTTAAGGGGATATATTAAATACCAGCCTACATGCAGGGGTTAAATGTCCTCTTCTAAGGCTTTCTTTTCTTGGTTACCAAATGTTCATTCTTTCGCATCCTTCTCTTGGCCTTTTTAAACTGACCCCAAACCCCAAGCCAACAAGGGGGGGAAAAAAGGCGGGCTGGGATGCAGAGGGCCCACAGAATGACACCAGGTTTGGGGGACAATTCAAAGCTTCCTCCGGCGTAGACCCCTCCGCTCTGCTCCCCCACCTCATGCATGGGTCCTCCACCGACAGGGCCTTTCCGACAGGACACCCTCTCCGACCCTCCAAGGAAAGACAATGAGGTCTGGTTCTCAAGTTTATTGTTGGCACGCTCTCACCGACGGCACCCTGATCCGAGGCCAGTCCACGTTGCACAGCGTGGCGCGAGGAAGGGAGGCGCGGGGACAGAGAGACTCCCTCGTCCTGTACCAGGGGCCGTCCGGGTCCCCTCGAGGGGTCACCGGGCGATCTTCTAGCTACTGAAGACCAAAGAACGTCAACGCCGGCCTCCGAGGCCCGCAGGAGGCTTTAAAAATGGCCTCTTACACACTTCCTGCTCGAGCGACCGGTAGGGATCCTCGCAGGCTGCATCATTTAAAACCTGGGGGCGGGGACCCGCGGCCCGGCGGCCACACCGCCGCCAGCTCCGTTCTCCGCGCCGGTCCCCACCCGCCAGCCCGCGGGCGGCGGCACAAAGGCGGGCGGAGGGCCAGGGAGGGGGCGCGACCCCCGGCGCGCTTTGACCCAGGTCCCCGCCGCCGTCCCCGCCCCGGCCGCGGCCTGTCACTCGCTGGCGGGAGCCCTGGCGGCGCCCCCTGACCCCGGCCCCCGCGGGGTGCCTGCGGGGGTGGGGAGGGCGCGCGGCCCCGGGGCAGGCCGGGGGTGGGGACTCCCTCCCGGGGGCCGCGGGCCTCCACACGCGGGCGCCCGCCGGGTCCTCGTCAGGCCCCCCGCCCCGCGCTGCTTCGAGTCCCGGTCCGCGCCTGCCCCGCGTACCTGGCCGGGGCCCTTCCCTCCCGGTCAGCCACTCACCCGGCGGCCAGTCCAGGGTCCGGGTCCTTACCCAGGGGTGTCTACACCGCCAGCGTCCGGCGCTGCTGCCGCCGCCGCCGCACCCGCTGTAGGTTCCTACCCGGGGGGGCGGAGCCGGGACAGCGCGCGTGCGCAGTGCGGTGGCTGCGGTGGCGAGGCCAGCACCAGAGGTCCCTAAGTCTGCGCCGCCCCTTGGCTTTGAGATGCCCAGGGCCTGAGCTCTCCACCTCGCCTCGGTGGCTTCTGGGCCCTGCTTTGGACTTAACACCGAACCGGGGGCATTGGCATCCACAGCGCGCAATGTCCACACTGAGGGCGCACATCAGCAGCTTCCTCTGCGAAAGGAGAACTCCTTTCACCTCCTCTGGTAGCCCAGCAGACAGACGTTGGTGAGAGCCTGCGGGGGTCCTGGGTCCTGAGGAGTGGAGCTGGGCCCCTGCCCGCACGGAGCGTTTAGTCCTGCCACAGGTGAGCAACAGCGAGAGCACAGGAGCTCAGGTCCTCAGCCCCCAGCTTCTACCTTCTTGCAGAGAAGAGAAGATAGGGAGGAAAATGTCACATGCAGCAGTGAAGGGGATGGCCCCGGAGTCCTGGATTCGAATGCCACGCCTGTCATCCTAGCCATTGCCCTTGGACCTGGAGGTCCCATGACTTCTCTTAAGTCTCGAGGTTTTCGTTTCTGTTGCGAGGCTCAGAGTAGATCACGACTGTGGGAGAGACTGATGGTGTGAGCTCATTTAGCGCCAACAATTTTTCCCTCTCCGCCTAGACTACAGTACTCTTTTCAGGGAACCAGCTACTGCTCACATAAGGTATGAATCTAGGGTCTTCAGGAAGAAAGATGTATCCTCTCTGAGTAAAGAAAGGAACCATATGGACAGGGCACCCTAATCAGTGATCCCAATGTAGCTCCCCTCAAAATAAAACTGCTCTCCAGAAAAGAAAACTGCCCCCCTAGCAAGGGAAGGTTGTGGCAGGGTGGCATCCTCACTGGGAAAGGTGTGTTTCCAAGTCCTGATAGGGGCTAGACACCAGCCTTGCCCTTCATCCTATCTATTGGCTGCGGAGGTCAGAGTGCCTGGACCTGGGCAGTATACTGCACAGAAGACTTGCAGGGTTGCAATATTTCCCAGGATTCCCAGCACACAGAAGTGGAGTTCAGGAAGAAAGCGCCAGCCAAGAGGCCAAGACCTTCTACCCTGAAACAACAGAAGCCTGGCAGAAAGAATGTTGATCCTAGAGGTGGTGCTCCCCTCCCCTGAGAAGTATCCTCTTGAACTGCTCTGATCAGGGAGCTACTAGACTCCTGTGCTGTGTCTCCTAGGGCTTAAAGAAGCAAATGGACCCCTTCTTAGACAAATACATTGAGGTGTAGAGTTCAGAGTTTCCCCCAAGAGGAGGATAGGTTAAGAAGGACATTGAGAATAACAACTGTCCACTGAGAAGCTCAGCTGTCAGAAGGAGGCAAATTAGAAAAACTAGTTAGTTCTATGGATTGCAGAATCAATCAGAAGTCTTAAAATTTAGAGAAAAAATTCCTTTACTGTTAGCCCAAATTGTCTGTCCTTGTAACTTCCATTCTGTCCTCTTTAGTCACATGGAATTGATGAAAGGTCACCTGTGGTTTCCTCCAAGTTTCTCTGGAGTCAGAGCTGTTATAAAGCCCAGCTTTGGTGGTTGGAAGCTGCAAATCTGCAACCCTAACCTGGCTGAACCTCAGTTTCTCAGTCAACAGCAGACCTTCCTATAGTAGGGTTGAACAGCTGGACCTTCCTCACACCAGGTTGCCAATGTTTAGTGAGAGAGAAAGCAGGTAAGGACTCATCACAGTCTCCTGCAGATAAGATGAGACTAAAAACTAACATATTTTTCAGAAGCCCAGATATAGTGAGATAAAATGGTTTGCAAAGGGTCTGGAAACTGGATGTTCACAGCCTGTAAACCAAGTAGGGAAAGAAACCACTCCTGCAGAAGCCTTTAAGGTTCATGTGTCGTGCCCCAAAAATCTTTTGATGGAAAGGCAGTTCATCCAGAAATGTGAACCTCTGCACACTGCCCTCCTTCCCCATTCTCTAGTATAGTTTGCCTAAGTTCTTTTTCAGTGTTCTCTGGTCATTTCTGACATGGATTGAATAATGTTCCCCAGAAAGATATGTTAAAGTCCTGAGCCCATGAATATGACCTGTTGTGGGGAGAGTGTTGGGGGAGAAAGAAAGAAAACAAATATATTTGCAGATGTAATCAAGTTAAGAGGCCATTAGGGTGGGGTCCTTACCCAATATAAACAGGGTCCTTATAAAAAGAGAAGAGATGGAGGAGACTGCCACATGAAGACAGAGAGGAAGGACAGCACTGAATACAGAGGTGGACACTGGAGTTGCACAGCCACAGAGCAAGAAACACAGAGGTGATTAGAAGCTGGGCAACCAGTCTGGATTCGCCCATGACTTTTGGAGGGCGTATGACCATGTTGACTCCTCAATTTCAGCTTTCTGGCCTTG